CTATGGAAAACAGTGTGAAGTTTCCTCAAAATTTTAAAAATAGTATTGCCATAAGATCTAGGAATCCCACTTTTGGATACTCCTCTGAAAGAACTGCAGTCAGGATTTTGAAGAAATATTGGCAATCCTCTGTTCATTGCAGCACTATTCACAATAGTCAAGATGTTGAAATAGCCTAAATACTCATTGACAAGTGAATAGATAAAGAAACTGGTATATACATGCAATGGAATACATTCGGACTTAAAAAAAATTGAAATTCCACAATATGTCATAATGTGGATGAAACTTGACATTATGCTAAGTGAAATAAAACAATTCAGAAAGACAAATACTGCATGATGCCACTTATATGAGTATCTAAAATAGTTAAATTCATAGACTCAAAGAATGAAATGGTGGTTGCTAGGAGCTAGAGGGAAGGAAAAATATGGAGTTCTAATCAACAAAGTTAAAGAGGTTCAGTCAAACAAGATAAATAAGCCCTAGAAATCTGTTTACAACATTGACTATCTATGATCAATAATAATATAGTGTGTACCTAAATAACTGTTACAAAAGTACATCTCCTTTTAAATGTTCTTTCCACAATAAAAACTTTTTAAATGAGATGCTCATTATCGAATTTTAAATTACATGGTGATTTGATAAATATTCTTTGGAAATGTGGAATAGTGAATGAATTTTTATAAAATATTAATATAGTTTTAAAATTTTTAAAAAATATTTTATTTATTCATTTGAGAGAGAGCATGAGCTCAGGGGCAGAGGGTGAGGGAGAAGCAGACTCCCTGCTGAACAGGGAGCTCAGTGTAGGACTCAATCCCAGGACCCTGAGATCACGACCTGAGCTGAAGGCAGATTCTTGACTGACTGAGCCACCCAGGCACCCAATTTTTATTTTTAAATAAGATTATTAATAAGATTATTATTTTTTTCTATTGAGTTGTATGAGTTTCTTATATATTCTGGAGACTCTATCAGATATGGTTTGTAAATATTTTCCTCCATTCCACAGTCTTTTCATTCTGTTATTTTCTTTGCCATACAGAAGCTTTTTAGTTTGGTGTAGTTACACTTGTTTATTTTGTTTTTGTTGCCTGTGCTTTTGGTATCATCCAAGAAATCATTGCCAAGTTTAATGTCATGAAACTATAATTGTATGTTGTTTTCTAGGAGTTTTATAGTTTCAGATCTTATGCTGAAGTTTTTAACCCATTTTGAGTTGAGTTTTGTGGATGGTGTAAGAGATTAGGGTCCAATTTCATTCTTTTTCATATGGTATGTTTTCAGTTTTCCCACCACCATTTGTTGAAGAGGATATTCTTTACCATTGTGTTACTTGGTACTCTTGTTGGAGATCAGATGATCATATGTGTGTGGATTTATTTCTGGTTTCTTAATTCTGTTTTATTGGACTGCATGTCTTTAACAATACCATACTGTTTGGATTACTCTAGTTTTGTAATATGTTTTGAAATCAGGAAATGTGGTACTTCTAGCTTTGCTCTTCTTTGTGATGATTGATTTAACATTTGTGTTCTTTTGTGGTTCCATATGAATTTTAGAATTGTTTCTATATTTCTGTAAAAAATGCCTTTGGGATTTTGATAGGGATTGAATTGGATATGTATATCACTTAGGGTATAAGGATATTTTAACAATATTATGTTTTATAATCTATGAAAATGAGATGTCTTTTCAGTTATCTGTCTCTGCCTTGATGTTTTTCATCAGTGTTTGTATAGTTTTCGTGTACACATCTTTTACTTAAGTTTATGTCTAGGTATTTTTCACTTTTGGTGCTCTTATAAATGGGATTGGTTTTCTAACTTCCTTTTCTGAAAATTTGTCTTGGTATGTAGACAGGCAACTGATTATTTTGTGTTGATTTTTTTTTAATCCTGCAATTTTACTGAATTTGTTGATTAGTTCAAACAGTTTTTAATGGAGCCTGTAGAGTTTTTCTATGTATGAGATCATATCATCTGAAAACAGGGAAAATTTTACTTTTCCCTTTATCATTAGTATGTCTGTTATTTCTTATTCTTGACTAATTGGCTCAGGCATCCAGTACTCTTAGAAGTGGTGAGAGTGGGTATCTTTGCCTTGTTCTTGATCTTGACTTGTAAGTTGAACTATCCTTGCATCCCTAGGATAAATCCCACTGAGTCATGGTCTATGATCCTTTTAGTGCTAGTATTTTGTTGTGGATTTTTGATATGCTCTTCGGAGATATTTGCCTGAAAGATTTCTCTTTCTTGGGATATCTTTGTTTGGCTTTGGTGTCAGGGTAATGCTAGTCCAATAAAATGAGTTTTGAAGTGTCCCCTCTTTCTCAATTTTTAGATGAGTCTTTAAGCATTTTATTTATATAAGGATATCAGGTTTTTATTTTATCTCTTTTTCTATCAACATAAACACACACACAGACATTCCTGTTCATTTTGACTATGTAGAAACCTACCAAATAGTATTGTTTTCTTTGTCAGAAAGCAACACATTTGCTGTGGTATGTAATCATATCCCAGTGCATGATATATGACTTTTGAGTTCTTCTAATGAACTTTAATGATCTTAATAGTTAAATGGTTGGCCTGTTTATAGCAAATCAACAAATAAATATGATGAGCATTATAGCTACCTGTGGATTTCTGTTAGAAATATTCTTTTCTAGAAGTTCCTTGTTGTATAAACAATTTCCATCATTGCGGCCATCTATAAAATAGGGGTGTCTAATTTAGTATCTAAGAGATTTTTACCTGATGTATTCTCTTTTGAAAAAAGTGACTTTTCACTTAGCCTATATTATTCTTGCATCATTAGTATTATCACTATAAAATGTATTTCCTATGTAGTCTATCTTTAAATAAATTATTCTAAATGAGACTTAGAGGTTGCTGACCTTACTTGATGTTGGCAAATGAAGGTCATTTCTCATCTTCTTTCTTATTTTGTTTTGCAATTGTCCTGTTTCGGGTGAAAAGGAAAGATTGAAAGGGAAGAAGGAAACAGATGAAAAGAAAGAACCAGCAATAAGTATGGCTGTTTGGGACATAGGCTTGATTTGCTTAGGAAGCCATTCCAGTGTGCCTCAGTGCTACCATTAACATCATACTTACACCTTTAGAAGAAGAAATAACCTAGGCTGAAAATGTGCTTTACAAATTTTTTCTTCTAGGATAAACAGACTAGCCCCCTACCCTCCATTAAATGGAGAAAAACTGTTTTCAGTCACTGGGGAATATTTATCAATTCTCTAAAGATGATACAATAGCTTTTTAAAAAGCATGAAAATTTTAAAAGTGCCTATATTATGATATTAATTTGGTTAAAAAAATCCTGTTCCTTTTAGAAGTAGTAGTTGGATGCATATATTTCAGAGTTTATTAAAATCTGTGAAAAATATGGGTGTAGTATCAGAAAAAAACATTTTTCCGGTGTAGCTTACCTGATTTAAACAAGGAAAATAGGGTAGTAAAAATAATATACCTTATTAGAAAAAAAATGACAAGATGAAATGTAAGGAACAAAGTGCATAGATCTTACCTTGTATAAAGAAAAGTGGCCTATCAGGACTGTATTTGGCTGTGAGTAGAAGCAGCCTATGGCTACTGTGGCTTACATATGTTTTAATTTTTCTCACAAACTGAGATGATGTTTGGAGGTTGACAGTTCACAATTTTTAGTGTCTCAGTGATCTTTTCAGGGATACATATTATATCCATCTCTGTTTTGTTCATCCTTAGCTGTTGCATTTTGTTCACATAGTTTTTGCCTAATAAAACCAAGATGGCTGTTAGACCTCATGGTATTGTATTCACATTTCAGAAAGGATAAAAGGAAAAGAGTGGTGTAAGGAAAAAGAGAAATATATCAGCTAAGAATGTCTCTTTTTATTAAGAAAACAAAAACCATCTGGAAGCCTTATTCAGGAGACTTCCCCACATTTTATTGGTTAGAAATGTGTCACATTTTACTTTTAGTTGCAACAGAAGCCTTTATGGTAGAGAAGGCGAGAGTAGAGATGACTGAGGTGATACTTACTGAACCTACTGATACGGGTTAATTTTTGCCACTGGTAGTGAGCAAAAGTTGTGTGCTGGGAAAAAATATTCTGAAACTAAATTCACATTTTCTGAATATGACTCATATAAATAAATAATCAAAATAACTTTTTCCCGACAATAAATATTTATTGTTTTTCCTCTTAAAATTATGTCTCACGGGTGCCTGAGTGGCTCAGGCAGTCAACTGCCTTCAGCTCAGGTCATGATCTCAGGGTCCTGGGATCAAGCTCCCTGCTTAACAGAGAGTCTGCTTCTCCCTCTCCCTCTACTTCCCTCCTTCCCTCGTGCTTGCTCGCTCTCTCTCTAACAAATAAATAAATAAAAATTTTAAAAAATTATGTCCCAGATTTAAATAATTCAATATTACAAAATTAAATTAGAAAATTTGATTCAGCGGATAATAATAATCATTACTATTTTTAGATACCTAAATGGTGCCAGATACAAGTATTTGTATATTTAGTCTCTTTTTTTAAAAGAATTTTATATTTTTTATTTATTTGAGAGAGTGTGAGATAGCACAAGAAAGGGGAGCAGCAGGCAGAGGGAGAGGCAGAGGGGGAAGCAGGCTTCCTGCTGAGCAGGGAGCCTGATGGCTGGCCTCGATTCCAGGATCCCGGGACCCCAGGATCCCGGGATCCTGACCTGAGATGAATGCAGATGCTCAACCAACTGAGCCATCCAGGCACCCCTGTTCGTCTAGTCTTGAATAGAAGAAACAGATTTAGAGAAGTAAAATAATGTGCCCAATTCCTGTAACCTGAAGCAGTGACTTTAGATTTCAACCTAGTTCTTTCTGTCTCAGAGCTTGTGCTTGACCCCCACATCACCTTCAATGATTAATAAACACTATAAATTAATGATATATTTAACAAAAGAAAAGTGGTGAAAATTCCCCATTGATGAAAATTATTGTGTTTTATATTTCAGATCATCACCTATGCTTAGACCTACCTCTAAAGTGGACCTTTTAAAATCCTCACCTCCCAGTAAATGGTATGTTTTTAAAATACTTATCCTTCTATATACGTGATATCATTCTCCTGTACTGTCAAAATCACCTATCAGCAAAGATTAGTAAGAAAAAGTGGAGTTTGCATTTAATTAGGTTCATCAAAGACTCAAGTTAGAGGAATACTGCTTCTGTGAAAAAATTTCAGAGGTTATCTATTATATAGGGATAGAAGTTTTGTTTTGTTTTCACAGCAGGTTTTCCCCTACTGCATTTCCCTCTTTGCAGGTGAGTACAATTCCATTAATATGACAAGGACTTTACCTAAATTGGGAAATCAGTGTTCTTTCAGTTGCTTATTCTAAAAACCCTACAGGTGTCTTTGACTGCTTGTTTCACGTCTCATATGTGATCTGCCAGTAAATCTTATTAGCTCTACCTTCCAAATATATGTAAAAGGTGACCATTTCTGACTACTTTGCCCTGCCTCCACCCTGTTCCCAGTTACTGTAAACTCTCGTTCTCATCTGGATTATTGCAGTAGCGTCCTACATGGTTTTCCTATTTTCACACTTGACCTTCCCATTCTGTTCTCCAAAGACCAGCTAGAATCATCTCGTTACAATGGAAGTTGGATCATGTGACCCCTCTGCTTTTGACCTACAGTGGCCCCATCACACATGGTAAAAGCCAATCTTGACAATAGTCTGAAAGCTGAAAGGTGTGGCCTAGCTTACCGTGCTGCTACGATCTGACTTTCTCCCCTTTTCCTGTTGCTATTTTTGCAACAGCCTTTTAACTTCTTAATTTTGCCGGGTGCTGTCCCCTTCAGGGCCTTGGCATCGCTGTTCTGGCTGTGTAGGATGCTCTTTCCTACATATATTACCATATCTGATTCTCTTCTTTCTTTTGCATCCTTACTCAAGACCACCTTTTTAGTAAGGCTTTCCCTGGCCACCTTACTAAAAATTTCAGCCTTCTTCCCTTGATTTCTAACCCCCTTTCCCTGCCTTACTATACCCCTTTATTATAACGCTATCAAACATTCTATCTCATTAAAAAGTTGAGATTTTTCTCTTTCTGTTTTTACATATTCCAGGTGCTTAGCACATTCTAATACATAATGGATGCCCAATAAATACTTATTTTTAAAATGAACAAATGAGTGAATATGTGAATAAATATGCAAGGCAGTGAATGAGTGCAATCTTTTTTGAAACATCTAATAAGGATCTCAAGATTCTTGATGCTTTTCTTAGCGTGTTAGTTATAATCCCTGTAACTATTAAACTATTTTTTTAACTTGTTGAATCTGGCTACTTTCAACATCAATATTAATTGCCCAGGTAGTATATAGTAGATTATTTTAGACTCTTGATTTAGACTCTTAGATTTTGACCTTTAAGTCTTCCCATTAGTGAAACTGAAAGGCTGTTAAGACTTTTGGAGACTCTGCCATGGATTACATTTCTGCTTTTTTTCTTTCATGATTTATTTCAGCTTGTTAAAATATTTTGTGTTAATTATTTTGTACTTTCATTTTTATTATGCAAAATTATTCAGAATAAAACATGCATATTCTAAAAAAAAAAAAGGTAACATGCGGACAGTGTTGCAAAACTCCAGGTGGGAGCTGTGACTGTCATGTAAAAATGACATATGTAAAAGTTATAAAATATACAACTGAAGTGTTTGAAGGAGAAAGGTGTCATTTGGGGGAGATTTATTCTCAAAGTCATAAGAAAAAAAAAAGGGAAGTGATCCCACCTGTTCCTTCTAGAGGTTCTCATTGCATTGCCATGTTTAATGGCAATTTATGTGCTGTATTACAAACAATTTAAATAAAAAAAAAAGACAAGCTCTTGCCTTCTGGAAAATAGACCAGTTAGAAAAATGATGCACAGTTGCAGAATTAAATATGTTCATTGAGTGGTTGGAACCACTTAGGTTCATCAACAGCGGTATAGGAAGACACATAAACGAAGCCACACTTCTTTTATTTACACAATATACATAAAAATCTTCAAAAATGTATTTGTTCTTTTTTGAGATAGAAATTTCATATAGTGAAATGTACACATTTTTATGGTATGATTTGATGACTTTTGACAAATGGATATAGCCAGCCATATAACCTATTTTGCCATCATTCCAGCCAGTACCTTCACGTCCTTTTCCCAGTTGTTCCTCTCATTCAGAGGCAACCACTTTTCTGATTTTTAAACTGTTGATTTAGTTTTGCCTAATATTACCTTTCATATAAATGAATTGTTTACTCTTGTATTCAGCCTCTTTTGCTCGCATATTGTCTGTTAGACTTATTCATGTTGTTGTGCCTACCAATATTTTTTTTATTGGTGCGTGGTGTTCTGCTGTATGAATGTGCTAAAATTTGTCCGTTTTCATCTTGATGGAATTTGAGTTTCTGGTTTTTGCCACTAATGAATAAAGCTTCTGTGAGCATTCTTGTGCAAATGTTTTTGTGGATGTATGTTCTTGTTTTTCTTTTTCTTTTTTTGGTAAATATCTAGGGGTGGAATTGCTAGGACAAAGGATAGAGGTATATTTACCTTTTAAGAATCTGCCAAACCTTTCTCAAAAGTAGGGGTCTATTTTACACTTCAAACTACCCATTTATTTTTATTATTTTAAAATGATATAGACTTCTGCAATTCCTAGCAGAAAGTGGACATTTGGGGAACTTAGATTAGGTACCCAAATCATTCTGTACATACAAGGTATTTTTAAGTGTTGTTGGAAAATCAGCTGTGTTTACCCTGAGAAAGAAAAGTAGGGTATTTCTAATTTTTCTGGGGATTAAGTATGGAACAAAATGTTTTTAAAAATCTATATGTTAAAAGAGTACTTAAAACCCACTTAATAAGGAAGAAGATAGAAAGTTCCAAACTATGGCTATTGTGGGGATGATTAATCCTACTCCTAATTTGAGTTCACAGTTCAAACTACCCCTCTAAACTTTTTTTTTCCCACATAGCACTACATTACCATCTTTATTACATCTGTTTCTAGACACTTCCCTAATTGCATTATAGAATGGATATTACTTTCATTTCTAGAAAAACAAAAACAAAACAAGACTCTTCTCAAGTAGGATGCCAGTGGCATTCTTAAATCCATTTTTATTACATGTGTCTTAAAAAACTTTAAAATATGCAGTGCTGCTCCAATTTGCATGTCATCCTTGTTCAGAGACCATGCTAATCTTCCTATGGTTCCAGTTTTAGGATATGTGCTGCTGATGGGAGCATCCTACTCACCCCCCAAACTTTTTGAACTCATCAAACCCAATATGTGTTGTGACCATCCACTTTTAGTTTTTCCCATTCATGTTTCATGAATTTTAATATTTCTAACTTTTTCCACTGAATTCATCAAAATTTTGTTTTTTAAGGGTTATTTAATATCCAAAAGAACATAAAAATTTCTGAAACCTCTTTTTATCTTTGAGATGGGGTGTGTGTTTTAAAAGAAGTTTAAAAGGAGTTTCATTCTGAAAGAACTTAAAACCAGTTCTAAACTCATTATCTAGAAGACCTTGCAAAATCAACTATCTTCACCCTGGCCTGTGTCATTGTTGAAGTAGAGCTGTGGAGCTAGCAGTAAGGTTCCTAAAATGCATGTGCTTTCACAAGCCTATTCTCATATGAAATGTTGTTTTTCCTCAGAAACATATTTGTGTTTGAGAAAAAGCAAATACAGGGCAAAGTTTTGCGGGAAGGTTGAAAACAGGTACCATGGAAAATATTATTATTGATTTTTATAAATGTATTTGGCAGTGAGTGTGTACTGAGTTGTCCAATGTAAGCATCCAGGACTTTTTTTTTTTTCCCATTGGTAGTATAGTAAAGTCCTCTTTCAGTAAACATTTGCTTTTGGAAAACATAAAAGGTCAGTTTTGGCCAACTGCATCAGTCCTTACTCTGCCATCTGTAAAAAATTTAGGTTTTGCCTTTTTGAATGACCCTTTAAAAATATACAAGACCTAGTTCTATCCTTTACTCTCATAAACCTCCCATTGGACTCCGGTGGGAACATTTTACAGTTAGGTTCTGAGGAATAGGACATTTCATAATGCCTTCTTGTGAGAACTTCCTTGGGCAGAACTTGGCCAACTCATTCCTCCTGAGAGAGTTCTGTGACCTTACTGATTTTAGAGCTTCGAAATAGACTCTAGGCTATTAAGCAGTAATGCTTCTTGAAGATCTTTCTGTCCATCCATCCATCTGTCTGTCCATCTAATCAACTGTCTACCTCCATGTAACCCTAAAATTCTAGTGTAGCAGACAAAGTATATGACTCTTGATACATTGAGGAGCTATCTTCCTTTGTCTGTTCATTGTCAATCAGTAAGAGTGTCCATTCTTAATGCCCTACGTATCTTTTCCTAGTACTCTATTGTAAAAACATAGTATTTTTTTGAACACTTAATATGTGCCTGGAACTAGTAAAGAGAAAAAGGGAGAAACAGGGTAGCTAAAAATATAATGAGAATCACACAGCAGAGCCAATATTTAGACCATGCTCCCTCTGAGTCCAAACCCGTGGATTTTAACTGGTACATACCTTGCGTTATACTGTAATGTGCCTTTTATACCCCCCCCTTTTTTTTATAGCAGAAGGAAGGTTATTCATTATCTTGGGAGGGCCTGGTTTATTTACCAGTATCTCTAATGAGTCTGACCAGCTTGAGAGAATTCTTGTCTTCCTCATCTTTGTGTGGCTAGAGCAGATCCTTGGGAGTTCAATAAATGAATCTCCAATTTAAACATTACCACTTCTTTATGATTATAAAAGTTTACCTTCTTATTATAGAAGGCCAAATAAATAGACAAATAAGCAAACAAAAACATAAGTTATTCCCCAAACCCATTATTCAGAAATAACTGAACAAATGCTTGATAAATGGGGGAATTCCAAACATTTTTAAAAAAGCCTATAATCTTGTTCTGCCTCCTTTTATTTAATAGGAAGACTTGATTGCTTGATATTAATTAAGCATGATTAATGCATGATAAATCTTTAGCTCTCATAAAACCAGGAGATGAAAAAGAGGGAAAACAGCAAATGTTTCAATAATGAAACTTACTATCGCTGTAAACTTGCCGAAGTAGCATTTTATTTGAGAATATACATCTTTGAGTCATTTTGTTTGGAACTATTAAACTGATTCTAAGATACTTATTTAAAAATAATCCCTTATGATCAGAAATACATTTCAGTATTAATAAAAAAATCTTTTTGGGATCCCTGGGTGGTGCAGCGGTTTGGCGCCTACCTTTGGCCCAGGGCACGATCCTGGAGACCCGGGATCGAATCCCACGTCGGGCTCCCGGTGCATGGAGCCTGCTTCTCCCTCTGCCTGTGTCTCTGCCTCTCTCTCTCTCTATGTGACTATCATAAATATAAAAAAAAAAAATTATTAAAAAAAATCTTTTTATCTGTATGCTTGTTAAATAGGACTTTATTTAAGAGGACTATAGTAAAAAACAGTTTATTGGTGAAAGTCTAGCCCCTAGTGGACAGGAGTCTCTGGTACACACCCACACACTCAGCTAGTTAGTACTTCTTGAAGAGATACCTGCTAAATCTCAAAGGGCTTCAGAATGGACTAGTGTTCAAGACTCTTGATACTAATATTTTATTCTCTTTTACTTTCATTTTCATAAAATATGCCATAGTTGTATGTCTGGCTTATAAAGACTTTATAGTATTTGAATGAATGCTAAGACTTTTCTATTCCACTATTAATTTTTTTTCCCAAGCAGTGATTTTTCTAGCTTTTAGAGAGTGAAAAAGTAAAATTTTCACCAACCCCCCACCTGCCTCCCTTTCTCTTTTCTTTTCCTTTCACTATAAGCATTCAACATTTACATTAACACTTCTCTTTCAGGATAGATTTAGGTGGCACTTAAAATTAACCCCAACACACACACACACACACACCCCATGTACACATTTCAGAAAACTGACCGCTTCTTTTAAAACTAAAAGAACTTCTCTTTAGTTACTTCTTTTCTCTTTTGTGAGATGTTAAAAATGATAATTATAGTGCAAAAATTAAACACTCAGATATGACCATACTTGCGAATAGAATAGTGCCTGATACGTAATATCCAATCAGAATGTGATTTTCTTAAGCTTGCAACAGCCCTTTCATTCTAAGCATTTGTTAAATCACATTTTATGATTCAGAGAAACTATAAGTAAACTTATCTAATCACTTTGATGACACTCATTTAGTTTTAGAAACTTAACCCCCAAAGACTGAATTTACATTTTCGGTATATCCCCATTCTGCTATATATGATCTGGGGTTTATGGAATAAAGCAGTTAGGAGCACAAGACTCAAAACTTTTGTAAGTGATATATGAGAAAAAAAAGTAGAAACTTAGTAAAAATGGTAGCACTGTTTTATATACATTGAATGGTTAGAAAATATGTAAATACTATAATAACTATGGTGCTTTACCTTGAAACAAACTTGAAGTTTGTGGGTGTTAAAAGGGTAGCATCTTGTGAGTTATTGTGAAATGGTTCAAGGAAGATTATCTGAAATTAGGTGGGAGGTTCTAATACCAGATGTGGATGGGTGTGGCTCATAATCCAGGCCAGTGAACTAAGGTAGCTGGCAGATGTTTGAGGAGGGTGTGTGTTTTGTGTATTCCTGTGCAACTGGATCAGTTGGGTGCAGTTTTCTTCATTATCTAGTGTTGCTCACGTGAAATGGTGCATAAGGAAACATTAAATATGCATTGTCCTCAAGTTGTCCCTACTGTATCAAATGCAGCAGAACAAATTCCTGTTTTCCAAACAACAGCAGAAGTGATTGTACTCTTTGTGAAGACCTGAAATAGAAGAAAAATGACTCATTTGGAATGAGAGCTATTTAATGTTTAAGACATGGTATAAAACATTGTATATAAGCTGTCCTGGACTTTGTTAGCTTCTCTTTGTGGCACGTCTTTTGGCTGCTACCATCATCAGCACAGTAAAATTCATTTATTTCATGTTGCTTTAAGTTGTGCTGTATATATATATATATATATATATATATATATATATATATATATATCATGTATATATATATATGATATATATATATGCTGTATATATATATATATATCATGTATAATGTAAGTGAAGCAGGTATGGTTCTTAGTTTCTTTTGAGTACATGCTTTCTGAAATTTTCAGCAGAAAGCTAGGGAAAGAGAGATTGCAGACATTCTTTGAATTTTAGCTATATGTATATGCAAATGGGGCACACAACTCAAATAATAAAGGGAGGGTGAATTTGTCCCTTTGGTCAGTTAAGGTTAGCTTCACCAGTGGTACCATTTCAGAAGACTAAAATAGAAGTTTTTCCAGAATCTGCCCATCCCCACTGTCACCATTGCCTCTCATCTGACTGCAGTAACCTCTTAGCAGCCCTGCCCTTGTCTTTCTCCTCTATTGTTCATTCTCTGCCTGGCTGCCAGGGTGACTGTTGAGAATTATGAATCAGATCACATCTTTCCTCTGATCTTCCAAAGGCTTCTCATCTTACTTAGGATGAAATCTAAACTCCAACAGGATCTGTAAGGCTCTACATAATCCTCTTCTTGACTGTTTCTCTGACACTATCTCCCATTCTTTGATTTGATCCACTCCAGCCATACCGGCCTTCTTTCTGCTCCTCAACATCATCTCTTCCCTTTGCTGGAATGTGCTCACCTAGACTTTGCAGAACAATCTTCTTACTCAGATCTCAGCTTTCATCTTTCTTCTAGAATGTCACTCCCCCCACCATGACCCTGTTCCTACACTCACCTATTAAATCATCCCATTTTATAATATATTTTATTCATTTTATTTTTTTATGTGTTTATAATTTCTTTTCCTTTAGAAAGAGCTTTTCTCTTCTTTAGCACCATATCTCTGGTACATCTTCTAGTGCATGAACGATTAGGTGCTCAATATTATATTTGTGAAATGAATTAAGGTTGAAAAAAAGTAGCTGGGGAATATCTTTTTTTCCCTAGAAAATAGGCAGAACTTTGTGTTTTATAATGTAAATACTTTCAGACTTTTAAAGCTAGTACTGAGCCTTTGTGGTTGTTTCAACCCAGTTAATAAAAATTAATGGTGATAAGCATTTACCAATGACTTACTATATCCAAGGCACTTTAGTAAATTCTTCTGATATATGAACTCATTTAATTCTTATAACAATTATGTAAGGTAGGTACTATTATTCCAAATTTAAAAG